ATTTGTCCATTCTATTCTAGCATATTTCTGTCGGAAATATAACCGGGAGTAGAATTACTGGGTCATAGTCTTTGTTCAGATTTAGCAGATAGTGTTGAATAGATTGCCAAGGGGGTTGCACCAATTTGTACTTTCCCAGCAATGTCCAAGACCAACTTTTATTTCACTATTTCAGCAGGATTCTTTGCTGCCTGTCAATTGAGCACAGGATGAAGTATGCCATGGCATTTTAATGGCATACTTTATTGGCAATAATACCACTACTAATAAGAAGAATAACAGTGATCATAATCTTTTGGACATCAAATTATCTGGTAAAGTCAAATGGGGGTGTTTTTTCCTTCTAAGGTCAAAACTGTAGCATACCATTTACTAATTATATTTGCGTGTATGTGTTTTGAATAAGTGCCGCTCGGCATTACTATTTGTTGTCATGCTGATGTTTAATAAAATTATTTTTTCATAAAAAATTGTCTGCTATGTTAATTTTCAAAAAGCAAGACACAGTCAGTACTTCATTATATCTTATTATTTTATCTGTACTTAGAATGCGTGGATACCATGGTTATCCTTAAATTAGACTTTTAGGAGAAATCCAGGATTAAAGAAAAGAAATGGTAGAAGTAGAATGCTTTTATATTTAGGTGATTTAAGTGAGCTTGGGCTTTTCTCTTTTTTTTAAGCTTAACTTTCCCAGTGAATAGCCTTCACTTTCTGGTTACTATTGCTAGTGAAGATATCACCGAAGTCTATTGTTTTTCATCATAGAGAGGTTTTATTTTATTATATCTATTCTCCAATTTTGTGTCAGTAATAATATTTTGTTCATTTATATGAGTTTTTAACATTGTGTACTCGATAAAGCTAATTGGAATATTATTGAAGATACCCAGCATTTCTTTTTAATAATCAGCATAAAAGGCAGATTCCTTTATTGGAGCTATAAGCCAAGACAACAGAATCATATGAGCTTAGCCTTGTGTCTATGAGAAAAGTAATGTACATAAAAGCAAATTTGGAAGTAGCAGGCCAATGCATGGGTGCTTCAGCCTCGGTAGGCTTGGTCCCGGTTTGGGTAGGAAGATGCTTAGTGGTTGTGTATATTTGTCACCTGAAAGTGCCTGGAAGATACAGATGTTCAAATTTGGAATGTGGATAACATCAGCCACATGGGGCTAGTGGCTGAAACTGTAAAGAAACAGTGAATAATAAATAAAAAATGTCATTAAAAGTAGGAAAATAAAAATGTCATTGTGGTAGGAAAACATTTAAAAAACACATTAAATGGTATGGTGCACAATAGAAAGACATCCTGTGTGAAGTTTAGGAATCTTTCTTCTCAGGAAAAAGGTATGGAATGGCCAATCAGATGCCCTTCCCCTTTCTGAGGGCTGTGTCACGATGATTAGCAGGAAAGAACAATGAACAATGAAGATTTGCCAGAGAGAAGCACTCCCAGTACATTCTGTAAGGGACCTCAGGAGACCACCTAGGCATGGGCCTTCTGTGGGTCTTTGGCAGTGCTCTGATGAAAGGGTTTACACAAAAACGTGGGGTCCCAGCTGTGGCACAAATTGTCCTTGTAGAAAGAGTCTGGGCAGGAGAATGGCTGGCCATTGTGGCCACCAGTGAGGGCTGAGGACACATGGCTGGAAGGCAAAACTGATCATGGGTCATTGCTGTCAGTCATGGCAAAGCGCAACTGACATCCTACACTCATGGCTGGTTTCTCACTCACTTTTAACCAGAAACACTTGGTTCCAGGCCTTTACTGGGTTTACTTATTCTAGTGGCTGCAAATTTTGGGATTAGGTGTAACTAATATAAAAGTAAATTATCCTCTTTTGTTTCATATAGTTTGAGCTATGTCGGTATAAATCTGTGTGCAAATCAAGACATTTTTGAATATCTGAGAAGAAAAAAATAAAATGGGCACTCATGACCAGACTGGGCATTCCTGAGTACTTCAGCTCGCAGGTAGGCTGGGTTCATGGGGCAGGTAGAGAATCTGATTATCTCCTCATAGTTCTCCACGGGAAGGCCTCAGTTCCCAGGTTTTTGTGAAAGAGGAATTTCATCTTTCATCACTGTGCTTTCTCTCTCATTTTCAGGTTATCTAACCAAATCTTGATTGAGATAAAGGATGGTGAAAGGCCCACAAAAACCACAGTTTAGTAAGAAGAGTTGAAGGAAATGGCAGTGCTTAAACTATGATGTTTGCGAGTACACATTAAGTCTCCTGATATATGTGAAGTCTTCTGAGAGACCACAAACTGCATACCTGTACATATTTTTCAGAACGAACAGATAAAGTTCAAAAACACTAAGCATTTCCTTGAAGCAAAGAATAGCATTAACCAGTAAATCGCTCTCTTTCCTGAGACTGTTAGGCTTAGTGTTCTGGTAATGTTTGACTGCATTACCAATGACCTCAAACCCACTGGCTTAAAATAACACTTAACAACGAATTGCACATTTCAAAATAGCTTGAAGTGAGGACGTGAAATACTCCCAACACATAAAAATGATCACTGCTCATGGTGATTGATATCCTAAAAGTGTTGACTTGATCAGTACACATTCTATGCATGTAACCCCGTACATATGTACATATGTTATGTATCGATTAAAAATGGAAAACCAACTCTTTAATCATATCTCATCATTTGGAAGAACAGGAATTTGGGTAAGGCGGGGCAGGGTGATTTTTAAGTGACATTGAGTCAGGTCACTTGGTGATATCCAGCTGGTGGATGGGCTGATGTGGAGAGCCCAGGATGTTGGGGGAAGCAGCAAAGGAGAAAGGACTTACGGAGTGCCTACATGCATTGGTATGAGTAACCTATAAACTGGGAACAGCAAATGCCTGCAAACTGCGGGAGGCCTCTGGGGAGGCAAACTTCTTCATGCCTCATGTTCCAGTGCAGGGTGACCGAGGCTCTGTTACCATAAACATTGTGCTCAAGAACGTAAAACCTTTTCGTAGCGCTAAGATGTAACCAGACGTGTAGGGACCCTGTAAGTTCTTTCCCCTTTGCTGCTTCCCCCATTAGCCTTGTTATCAGGTCTGGTGCCTTGGCAGAGGTCTCTGGAAGGCTGAGCTCAGAGGAGGGTTGAAGTGTAGTGTGTATTCATGTGGCTTCTCCAGCATGGCAGTCTCAGAGTAGTTGAGCCTTTATGGAGAAGCTGAGGCCTTCTATGAAGAGGATATCGAGAGACAGTAAGTGGAAGCTGCCAGTTTTCCAAGGCCTGGAGCTGAGAACAGGCAGCATTGTTCTTACCACATTCCTTCAATCACAGCAGTCACAGCCCACCTAAAATCAAGGGTGGGAGAGGGAATGTGGGTCTCGTCTCTCAATGGAAAGAGTGACAATCATTTTATGGTCATTTAAAATCTGCCACCATCATAACAAATTCTAAATCTCATGGTAATGTATTTTTCATACTGTACCTTCCCACTGTCTAAACTTGCTCAAATCAGCAAGAGGAAAGAATCCTCTTCGTTTATAGGTACATGCTGTTTGCGAATAGGAAATACTCATTAGGACCCCTTATGTTAGGACTGTTGAAATGTTACTTAGATAATTATGTAAGTCCTAGAACAAGGATGAGTGTGAAAATGAATGTGAGTTCAGGAACAGTATCAGCAGCTGGTTTACCAAGTATCTTTAAAAAATCTCCATTGTCTTTAGAGCTAGAAATGTTGAGTATAATTCCTGGCAACTGAGGTGAACACAATTCCCTGTCCCTTTTCCTGATGCTTGTTTCTCATTTATTTGTTTCTTTCAACAAAATGATTTCTTATAGACACACTAGAAAGCTTTTTGTTTGTCTTCTTCATTCTTATGTAGAAAGGATTGTGCTGGGGTGGTGAGAATGGAAGGACAAACTTGTCCTAAGGTGAGAAGGAATGTCTCTGGAAGCAGTTTGTTTAGGTATTGGATTAGATAACTTTGCCTCAAAGACAGATGTGAGCATGATCTTAGGGGCAAGATCCTGGGTCTTCAGTGGGGACCTGCTCATGGTGATTACTTGGCTGCCCAGAGTTTAGCATCTAGGAACTTGTCTGTCCAAACTTCTATAGTTTCTGACATGGACAGCCCCCTACATGCTATTTCTACCACTTTAGCTACTTGAGCTCTTGACTGTCTCATTTCCCATCCTCGAACCCACTGTGGCCACACCCTCATTCTGACATCCTTTTCACCAACCTGAATTAGGGCATTCCGTCCCATACTATCTTGGCCCTGTCACTCCCTGAGCCACTAGTAACTTTTAGTTTTGTATCCAGTTTGTTTTCAGCAGCCTCTACTAGTTCTCTACAATACATACCAGAAGAAACAAATTCTCATTTTGGGAAATGCTCCAACTCGGACCCATTCCTGCGTTTCTGGCCTCGCCTCTTCTCTCTATATACTTACCATCTCTCCATCCCAAGCCCATTGAAGGCTATGTTCATGTTCTTCTCTCTAGGTTGTTACATGAGCTCTTCTTTGTTAAGTGGTCTCAAACTTACCTATTACTTACTCAAGATTCAATCCAAACCTTTCCTCCTTTATTCCTGGGAACGTCATGGGAGACTTCTTCAGGCATCTTTTTGTCCTTATTCCTTTGGTACTCCGAGCATAGCTCTATTATCTGGTTGTGGATTATCTGTTTAAATATCATGTTACTCCTCTGCTTTATGAGCTCTTTCTGGGCAGGTACCATGGAATTTTCATCTTTGAATCCCTGTGCTCTAAAATATACCTGATGTATGCTCAGATGGATAACTGAAAAAAAGGATGGATAGATGGCTGGAAGGCTAGATGGTTGCCTGGATGTAGGGGGATGGCTGGATTGTAGAAAAGGTGAATGAATGTATGGTTGGGTTGGTTGACTATTAACTTTTTAACAACAATGGACGAATGTTCACAAACAATGACTTTTCCCCCTGAGATTCTGTGACTTTTAATTGCCAATGTGTCTAGCACAAACTCCATTTCTCATGACATTCCTAATATAAATTTATACATATTTTTATTTGTTGTTATACTGCAGCTCTTCAAAGAATTCTGAAGTTGGTCTTAAGTTAGCATTGTTAAAACTCTGACGAAGCAACAAAAGATTTAAACAGTGTACAGCAAGCAGTGATTCTGAAACCAGAGTTGTTTCACTGCCCACTCCCACCCCTAGCTTGATTTGCCATGATGCATCACTTCCTAGGCTTAACTAGGTTCTTAATTATGGAGATAACGATATTTACTTCTGTCTCACAAGGCCGATGAGGTGAAATTATTTGGAAAAACTATCTATCATCTGTCTGTCTATCATCTTATATGTGTTGTTGTTAAGGTTTGTTTGAGATATCCCTCAGGAGAAACAAAAGAAATGAAAATATTTACATTTCTTATGTTTCCCCTCTTTTGTCATTGACGTTCTAAACATTGATAAGGATTTGTTCAAAAGCATTAAGGACTAGCACAGGAAGCAACTCAGGGAGAGCTAGAACTCATAGTCTCTGCTGCTATTGCTTGTTACCATTGCTAAATTATAATTCTTAGAGCCATAGCACTAATACATGTGTGAAATACCAGCTATCAGAGGGGAGGGGCTGGTCTTAAGGGTAAGCATGACAAACACGTTCCGTCTCGGGTGCTAGTTTCAAATCAGTTGCTAATTGCTACCTGGATTTGGGAAAGATTCTGAGGTCTTATCTGAGCTACAATTGTTCAGTGATGTCTGCCACGAATATAGGATCTCTTACACATGATTGTCATATATTTTTCATCCCTATTGTAAGACCATAACAGTTGTTCATTAGGCTAGGCATCCATGCTGGCTATCCACTGATTCACCACAATGGTTCATGAGATGGTTCAGGAGAAAATATCTACAGAGGTTTTACAGTTTCTGGAAGCTTGTTTTTGAACTAAATATGCAACTTGATCCTTCAGTGAATGTAGCTAATAAAATCTAGAAAGAGCGAGGTGAAGAAAACTAACTGTGGCATTAACACCTGTTAGAGTCCTTTTCTTCAGAGGACAAATGCTTGTCTTCCTATCCAGGGTGGGTTGTCTACTGTGGAGGAAGGATGGTTTCTCAAGAAGTTGTGGTTAATAGTATATCATATTGAAAATTAAGAGGGTTCACTTCTGTGCAGATGCAAATATAATCAGATTAACTTTATTTTAAGCTTCTATGACATTCTAATTAGTAATAGTATACTAAGTTAAGCCAGTTTATCTAGCAAAATGCATTTCACTTTGAAATTGGGTATTGGGAGACTTGGCAAATGCTGTGAGATTACTTAGTAAAGTTAAGTACTATGTATCTATAGAGGAGACCAGCTCACCGTCATAGGTTAGTGCTGCAGGCTCAGAAACAGTCTCAAAGGCTTGGAAATGTAGTTATATAGACCAGAGCATTCTATTCTGATTTTGCTCCTGGAAATGTAGTTATATAGACCAGAGCATTCTATTCTGATTTTGCTCCCAGTGTCTTACCACTGTTCATTTTTTTTGGCTAAGAATCACAGTCTGCTGACCTAACTCACACTCTAGACATGTCAGTGGGAAATTCTGACCATAAATCAGCCTTGCAAATAAAGAGCATGTAGCCTTGTCTGTAGTAGCCTTGGAGCATAATACAAATGATGTCAGCATCCTCTGTGGTTGGGTCAGAACTAGCACTGGCTGTTTGTAAGGCTGAGTCCATGTTACCCTTCAGCACCTGAGTGCCAAGCTGAGGTCTCAACATGGGTGACGTGAAGGACAAGAGATAATCAGTGGCTGCTGTCCTTCTATACATCTGGCCACTAGATCCGCCAGCTTCTCCAACTTGTTGGGCTTATTATATCTCTGAAAAGGAACCTGAAGCTGTGTCATTCTGCAAGGACGATTCCTGAGAGATAAGTGAAATATAATCACTAACTAAAGAGATAAATTCCTCACTTTACTTCCTAGAATTGCACCCCAGGAAGGGTTAAAGTAAGGGATTTTGGTTCGTGCTGTCAGGCCACAGCGTGACACCTTCTATAAAATGCACCATAAAACTACATTATTCAATAGACCCGAGCATTTCACCTGCTTTCTTATCTCTTTGTAGGTGATTAAGTTTCTCACAAATGCAATTTGTTAATATGGGGCCACATTTTCTCACAAGGTAAATCTGTGAAATTTGGCAGGCATTTGCTTGGCTGCAGGTGCAAGATGAAAGAGCTTTTCCTGGCTTTGCCAAAAATTAAAATTATGTTGTGCTCCAGTCCTGGGAAAAATACTCTGACACGGAGGGTAGAACCTGACTCCAAGAAAGAGGAATAGAATTCCAGGGCCCAAATCATGTGCTATTATTCCTAAAAGGCTGAGTGGGGAATCTGAAGTCTTGTTTAAATAAGGCCAGCTATTGAGCAAATCTCCCTGGTAGGAGAGCCCACTGATATTTGGATCTGTAGCCATTTGTGATGATAAATGATGACTGTTACTCTTATGAGCTATGAGAGCTTAATTAGAGCTTAATTAAAGCTAATGCTCAGCATTCTTTGGAAGGTGGAGTGATTAAAAACTAACTGCCATGCCAAATAGCCTGGGTTTTGAAAAGTATGTCTTTGAAATACACGAGATCCCCACTCTGGGGCTCTTCCATTCCTGTCTGGGTCTTCACACCTAAGTCAAAGCAAGAGCTGACTACTTTTGCATTCGAATTTCCTTGGCCAAGACTACAAGAGACCAAATTCCTGGGTTCATCTCAGCGTCCTGTGCATTCACATGGAAGGTTGTCTTTGAATCTGCACGTCCAGCTCACCATACACGTGTCTCAGGGAGTCACTGCTCATGCTGGCTATCAGCTTCCGAGGCCCAGAGACCCAGGGCCGGCACACTTCTTCCCATTGCACAGTGGAGTTGGGCAGAATTTCACTGAAAGGATGGAAAAGAGAGCAAAGGTTGGTAGAACCAGCTTCCCATCTGGATCAAGAAGCAATGAAAACTCTAGTCTGAGTCACTTGCTTTCTTTCTCTCAGTTGGCGCTTAGGGGACTGAAGACTCTGGTCAATTCAGCAAGTTCTACCCCAAATGAGGACCCCACATGAGGCTCTGCAGAACCTGTCACTGATCTTCCCAGTGGAAGGGTCATGGTTCCTTTCACTGGGATGCATCCACCAGCCTCCCAGTGGCTATCAGGAGCCAGGCTGAGCCCCACCCAACCATTAATCAACTGAACTGTAGCTTGTCCCCGAGTCCTCCACAGTAGCTTTACCTATGTGACTGATCTTCTGAGCCTCAGCTCAGTTTTTGCCACTAGTTTCCTCCTGGGATTAGAGTCCTATCTAAATCTCCCAGCTGCCGTTGCTGAGGCCCTGAAGCTCAAATAAGTTTTTGCCAACTCCCTTGGGCTAGACATTGTTCCCAGGCTCAGCATCTGAAACGTAGCACTGCCTGCTGCCAAGTGACTTTGAGAGTCTTCATGTGCTGTAATTCACATTCCTATTTCAACCACCAATTTGGGTCCCTCCACCTATGCAACTTTCTGCTAATCATTTGTTGCCAATGCCCTAATCTATCTCGCTAACGATATAGCCTTTAATGGTTCTGATGTTCTCTTCCTGCAAGCTTCTGCCCCGAAGTCTTCCTGAGTGTCATGAACAAGTCCACTTCAGTGCAGACTGAGGATAATCAGGGTTGGGGAGATTTAGGGTTCTCTGGGGTGCTTCACATATAGCCTCCTCTATAAACTTTGGGAGGAGATTACATTCAGGTTTTATACATATGACTGTTCCTTGAGACAGATCATATTCAGTACATTTTTTGATTAAGAAAAATGGAAATTTAACCAGTGAAGTCCCTTTTTCAATATCATAGTTGGTAAATGGGCAGAGATAAAATTTGAACCCAGGTTTTCCTAAGTCCCATATTCCAACTCTTTCTGCTACTATTCACTACATTTTATACAAGTGTACACCATATGTTCTGTAAGAAAAGGCTTTTTCTAAGATATTTGCACACACATATCTATAGCAGCACAATGTGCAACCGCACAAATATGGAACCAGCCCTGCTACCAATCAACAAGTGGATAAATAACTTGTGGTATGTATACCATAGAATACTACTCAGCCATAAAAAGGAATGAAATAATGGAATTCACAGTGACCTGGATAAAACCAGAGACCATTATTCTAAGTGAAGTAACTCAATGGAAAACCAAATCCTATGTTCTCACTCGTAAGTGGGAGCTGAGTTATGAGACTGGAAAGACCTAAGAATGAAACAATGGTCTTTGGGGACTCAGGGGAAAGGTGGGAGGTGGGTGAGGGATCAACGACTACAAATTGGGTACGGTGTATACTGCTCGAGTGATGGGTGCACCAAAATTTCAGAAATCACCTAAAGAACTTATTCATGTAACCAAACACCACCTGTTCGCCTATGAAAATAAAAAGAGAGAAGCCTTTTTCTGACCACTGTGCTTACTTTTTCATAGGTTTTATTTCTCAAGCAGGACAGATGCCTTTTGACTTAGTATTAAGAATGTCCTGCAAGTGTTTATGGAGGATTCTTGATCTCTGCTCTCTGAGCCTCAGGAAGAGCAGGTGCTGGGTGGCCTGCCACGGAGTTCTGGGCCAGCCCTTTTCAGAGAGAGTGGGAGATGAACTGACCACCATGAGTGTCTTGAAACGGGAATAAAACAGAAGTGACTATTTTCCTGGGATTGTTGAGGCACCGAATGTCAGAATCTGAAAAGCATTTAGAAATCACTTAATCTGTCTAATTTTACAGAGGAGAAAAGTGAAGTCTGAAGAAGCCTACACCATCTCCAAGATCCCAGAACCTAATGGCTCAGGTCATAGAAAAGCTAGAGTTAGAGCCAGCTGCATATTCTTTCTCTAGATTCCTGCTAGTAGAATAGAGTTTAAATTTTAACTGCTATTTTAAATTTCATGAAAACCTGAACATCAGGAAGCAAAGTGAAGGACAATAAGAAGACCTGCCACATAGCAGAATATTGGCTGCTTCCCCTGGAGATGACGTGGCACAATCTGCTCCGTGTGTTTTGTACAATGTGCTGTGTGACTCGCTCCATATATGACTTGTTCAGACGTAAACCCAGTTTATTCTCGAAGATACTTTATGGTAACTAAAATTGGCATGTACAGAATTTAAATTACAACGGGTTTGGGGACCTATAGCCTCTGTAAATACTTAGCAGCTTTGGGTGCTCAGGAGTTATGAAAATGGTGATGTTGATATACATGCAATGAAGAATACCAAGAAAAAAGGTTCTTGTTTATAGTATTTTATAGTATGGCTGCATAATAAACACTGTGACATATGAGGTTTATTTCATTGTTACATCGGCCTGTCAGAGCTATAGAGGAGAAAAGCTATACAGAGAGAAATTGGAATAAATGTATTTTTAAAAATCATTTAAAAAATCAGACACTGCTATCTAAATGATGTGCAATGACGGGTGTCTGTATAATGAAATATCGTCTACTGGTTACAAGCTCCATAGACTCTGGAGTCAGAATACTTGGGCTTAGGGAAAAAAATAAATTTGATTCTCCCACTTATTAGTTGTGTAATCTTAGCCAATTTATTATCCTTCCTTAAGCCTCAGTTTCTCATCTGCATAATAGGAATTATTCAATGCTTATTCCATAGAACTGCCTTGATAATTAAATAATCCAAGAAAAGAGTCCAGGGCAGGATCTCGTAAAATACTAGCTGGTGTCGTCTTATTGTACCAGTTTCTTTCTTTGTTTACATGACAAAGGAGTGGTTCTGCTGTTCCTCCATCTCTAATCCTCACTAAATGAGTATATCAGGTGACAAAATTTTGCCTGATCAGTAGGCTGTGGTGATACCTAGGTGAAGGCAATTGCTGTGTTACACCCAAATTTTAGGTTAAGTAGAAAGTGAAGGGAATGTTACCCATGTGGCTGGTTTACTCAGTTGCCATAGATGAGCAAATCTGGTAACTGCAGCCTCAAAGCAGTGTGAGTAGGCTGACATCTGTGCCAAATGCTTTCCCCCACAATGGTGTGTGGACTCAAAGGATGGCTGGAGTCTGCACCACAAACTATTGCTGAGTTTTAGTGATGTTTGTCTGAGCACACAACAGATCTGTGGTTCTCAGTTCTCTCTGGAGGGCCTGTATCCAGAGGAATGAAATGGTACAGAGAAACACTGAGGAGGAAAAGGGAATTAGCAGTGCAAGGTACTGGGCTGAATTTCTAATCCACCCAATAAGAAAGGCATTTTGGTCCCCTAGATTAATGATAAGGAAAGTACATTTCAAACACATCAAGTGGCTCCTCCCAGATTGTACAACTGATATGTGGCCAAGCAGACAAGAATCCCACTGTTCATGCCAGCATCCACAACATGGAAGCTTATGAAGGGAACTGGGGTTGTGGGAGCAACTGAGTTCAGAACAGGATGAAGGAACGTCAAGGAAAGAAACAAGACAATGCTTATGTTCAGAAAAGAGGCATGTGTTGTGCAAAGAAATTCTGTGGCTGGATCCACAGACCCTAAGAGAGTTCCCTGAGAGAGTGCTCAAGGGCTGGAGTAAGGCACTTCCTACCAGGCACCCTGGGGTCATCTGGGGGTGCCAAGGGAGTTTGGGTGACTCTGAGCTTTGGACTAGTGTGGCTGTGTGAGGAGTTGCAAGGAAGGGGAACTGTCAAGGGAAGCCAAGACGGGCTCAAGGGCTTTGACTACATGAGCCCGCATTTGTCCTTCGGGGTCTGGGGCCAAATAGCATCACTTCAAACAGACGTCAAGTGAAGGGGGAGATATGGGGCCATATACCTGTATGTGACCTGCCCTATGTAATGTTAGAACCCCAAGATTTCCTCAAACATTAGTAAAACAATGTGTATTCCAGCTGGCTGTGGTTTTATGTCCTTTGGGATAATAAGGGAAAAGGTCTCAAATCTCAGAAATTTAGACACTAAATAAGAAGTCCCTTTCTCTGTCATATCTGTGGTTAGTGAATTGGAAGAGGCATCCATGGCCTTGAGGAGCTCTATGTATGATGCTGTTTCAAGCACTGACTTTGACACTGATAATCTAAACTGTCTAATTAATTTAGTATTTGCTAATACTTTTCTTAATTTTTGTTGTTTATAAATGTGGCCATAGAATTATTTTAATCAGTTATGCGAAAGCCCAACTATGTAAAAAATGCATATGTATATGACCTATATATGTGAATATTTTGTCCAACCCAGTGAATTGATTTCATGATTTAAGGTTTGGAAAACATTGACCTCATCATTGTTTTCCTCAACTGTAAACAGTAGACACTATGGAATATTGAATAGAGCTAGGAGAGGATAGGGTGTGTTAATATTTGTACCATACTTAGAAACAAAGTAAGATATGGTAAGTGCCAAGTAGTGTTAGAAATTTTCTCCTCCTCCTCTTCCTCTTCTTCATCCTTCTTTTTCCTCTGCTTGAACTCTTCAAAATAATCTAGGAAAGTTTCTCCTGCCTGTATGCAGAGAGAAAATTCTCTGTCCTTAATTCACAATCCTCAATTCAATACCAATATAGGTTCCGAATATTTATTTCTCAAAGCTGTGCTATTGTTACCTGTATCCATTCACACTCTCTCCTCTGGTTTCCCCAAGTGATCAATCAGAAGCACTTTGTGAAACAGTAGCCCTGGCTAAGGACCTGACCTGAGACCATGTACTGTACATAACCGCCTCAAATAGAAGCTAAATCCTGAGCTCCCCTTATCATTTGCTCTTACTCATAAAACCATTTGGCATGATGATGTGTACATGTGAAAAACTCATACATGAAGATACATACGCATGCTATTTTACATACAGATAAATTCATAACAGAAAGAAAGTCATTTTGGTAAGTGGGGCAATGTTGGAGTAATCCTATTTTCTGGGAATGGATGTTGTGATAAATGATTCTCAGTAATGTGCTGAGCCATCAGGAGATGCCAGCCATTTATCATCTTGAATGCACGAAGGCAAATGGGATTATTATTACAATAAACTGCAGCTACCCATGGTTTGTCCTCTGTGTGTCTAGCCCTCAGCTTCTGTCTTATTTGAGAAACTTATAATTTAAGCCCCAATCACAAAGTGGGAGAATTTTTCTCTTGAAATAACTTATTGAACTGGATTATTTTCTAAGCAAAATCAATCTGCAAGATAAATTATTTGATGCTCTGGAGGCATCAAGTGCAGAAAGCTGAGAGTCTGTGGAGGTGAAACCTCGGCACATCTGAGATCGGCAGGAGGCAGTGCAAGAAGAGCAGGAAGGTAAACCATTTCAGAGTAGAGTTGGCTTACAGCGAGCAAGGGGTGAGCTACAGCACTGCCTTCTTTGTTTCTGGCTCCAATTCCCTGCTTACCTGCTCCCCACCTTTCAGGCCTCTGCTTTGGGCTTAAGAACCCCTGCCATCTAAACCACATCTGGCAGGGGGTGGGTGAATGAGTGGGGGTGGTGATTCCCCGATTATTTAGGAGCTGTATGCTGGAAAGAAACAGTCTTGTAAAAGATTTTTGTTCTATGGAATTATACTTTCTAGCCGTCCAAGTTGTTACATGGATCTGGCACTCCTAGATCAGATCTTGGCAACATAGGGCACAGTGGAGTGTTTCTAATTATCTGACCATATGGAAGTGGGCACTGACTGGCTCAGGTCTTGGTTGTGAAGGTGTGTGCTGGAGTGAGGAGTAAACAGAGAGAGTAGCTCTTGCTCCAAGCTGTAAGCCCAGCCTAGAAAACAAATGTCTTCTATGTCATGCTTTTTAGCCCAATTTTTGACAGTCTCTGAGAAATAAAGCTTCTCTTGCCTGGGAGACATTCTACCCTGAATCTGGGTTTCTATAACTATTCAGCCATAATAAAGAGTGCAATCATGCCACTTGTAACAACAGGAATTAGACCTGGAGGGAGGGCATCATGGTAAGTGAAATAAACCAGACATGGAAAGACAAATAATACATGATTTCACTCACATGTAGACACCAAAAAAATGTTTTTAAAGTTGACATCTCAGAAGCAAAGGGTAGAACAGTGGTTACCAGAGACTGGGGAGGGGAACATGGAGGAAAAGATGGGAAGAGGTTGGCCAGTGAGAACGAAATGACAATTAAACAGGAGGAATAAGTTCTGGGGTTCTCTTGCGTGGTAAAGTAGCTATGGTTAACAGTAGGTATTGTATATTACAAAAAGCTAGAAGACAGGCTTTTGGAAGTTCTCACCACAAAGAAATGATAAATGTATGCGGTGATGAGAATACCTGATTTAATCATTATACGACTTATATTATGTACTGAAACATTCAAATTATACCACATAAATATGTACAATTCCAATATGTCAATTACAAAATTTAAAAAGAGATTAATAACTTTTATGGACTGAATGCTTGTGCTCCTCACAGATTCATTTGTTGACACCCAAACCCCAGTGTGATACCATTTAGAGATGGAGCTTTGAGGAGGTAATTAAATTAGATTAGGTCATGTGGGTGGGGCTCATGATGGGATTAGTGCCTTTCTAAGAAGAGGTGCCAGAGAGCTTGCCCTCCCTCTCTCTGTCCCCATGTGAGGACACAGTTAGAAGACAGCTGTCTACAAGTTAGGAAGAGAGACCTCATCAGGAACCAAATTGGGAGGCACCTTGTTCTTGGACTTCCCAGGCTCCAGAAGTGTGAGATATAAATGTTTGTTGTATGAGCCACCCAGTCTACGGTATTTCTGTTACAGCAGCTCAAACTGACTAAGACCAGCTAACTGTCTGTCTGTCTACTTGTCTGCCTAGACTTAGGTGGTGTTGTGGTAACTGCTAATAGTACCTTAAGCCAGTGTGTGGGCAGGACACCAGTGTCTATGTAGGGACTGGCCTTGTTCAGCCTTTCTCCCCGTTCACTCCGCTTTGCTCCACCCCAATGTCAAATATAAAGAATAAACAAAGCATCTAGCGATTTAACCTACTTTGAGCCTGAGGCCTCCCACATGGTGGGTCATAGCACTGTGTGATAATTCATCTTTTGTCTAAGACTCAGAGTGTCCTTTTTCATGTGTTGGCCTTGACTAAGGTGAGAGTCTGGGGACAGCCAAGGTGTAAAGATAGAGGAAGTTCTAGTACACTCAGATGAAGCTCGTGGGGTTACATCTAGGAAAGAAAAACTTGGATACAGCAGGGGGCTGTTTGGAAGAGGAAACGTGTTTCACTTTGCCTGAACGAGGCTTGCGTCTGATTCGAGTGGGAAGGTGTGAGAACGGGTGAGCAAGACTGTCGTTTCTGACAAACGCAGGAGTATGGCTGCTGACCTCTCCATCTACGTGAGGTTGATTATTAATTTGCTTCCTTTTTTTTCCTGAAACTTTCCTGTTGGAAAGGTTGGCTATGTTTTGTGCTTGCATTGTTTCAAAAGCACTCAGATTATTTTCGTCCACAATAAGGCATCTGTTAAACGATGAGATGCAGAAGCTACGAGCATTTTAATTAGAAAGAAATGCAGACAGCCCTTTATGCATAATCAAGGTGTCCCAGAGGGGACAAGTGAGGCCTTGCATTTATTCCACACATTCCAGAGTGGGGTCGCTTCCATAAAGGATGTCAGGAAAAATCTTAACGTATCTAGTCACGAGGCAGTTTCCAGAGTCCTCTACCTCCTTTCTATGCCTTAGAAGGTCACCCCACAGGAAATGTGCTAGATTGATTGATGCTGACAAGGACTTATTTGTGGTAGAAATGAAAGTAATAAACCTCAAGATTGGGATCCATTCTGGTGTCACACTTTAAGAGGAGTAGTGACAAATTGGAATGTGTATGGAAGAGAGAGAGAGAGCTGCAACCATGTTAGAGGAGAGAGGAATAAAGTCGGGGCAGAGTTTTAGCCCCAGGTAGAAAAGATTCAAGGAAGATGAGACAGCTATTTGCAAACATTTGCAAACCATAAGACGGAAGAGAAATGTCAGTCCAGATGGCAGAATTAGGATCATTAGTAGGATCAAATGGTAGAAAAACGTTTTCTTACCATTAGAACTACCTGATCATGGAATGGGTTATCTTGTTGGGTCACACTGTTTGTTAGTAGAAGTCACAGAAACTGAGACCTGTCAAGCACAATTTGAAGGGGTTTGTTTGTGGAAGAGTCTGAGCTTCATTCATATCATTACCGAGCCTGGGGTCGTCTTTGGTCCCCTGAATGGGGAACCATCTAGAACTCTTTAGGTTCAACTAAGAAAAAACAAAATTGAATTCAACAGTTGTAGACACTGATTGGGTTGGTAAAATATGTGGGGTGAGGCTGGAGACAAAGGACCCATGAAAAGGGGCATCTCTCAGTATAGTATCTGACACATGTTAGGACCTCAATAAAGATGAGAAGAATCCATACATGAGTAGGAAGTATGTCAAGATGGTTCAAACTTGGGTTGTGGAATTTGCCAGCCTGAGTCTAAATGTTGGCTCTGCTTTCATAAACTCTGCAACTTAAGCGCCAACCGGTCAACCTCTCAAAGCCTCAAATTCCTCAGCTACAGAAGGGAGATAATAGCAGTATCTATATCGTTAGGGTGGCTTTAAGGATTGAATAATGGAAGTGCAGGTCAAGCCAGTCCTGGTTTTACTCCATGCCCCACAGAAATGGTCAGCAAGGAGGAGGCAGCTTCCCAGACATTTTCACTGGGGAGCAGATCTATGCTTGCAAAAGACACACACAGAGAAAGCTTCCCATAGCTCTGCACTGCCTGCCGGCTCTCCCCAACCCAGGGCTTACCGGAACATCTTCCTCATCGGTCTTGTTATCCCAGGACCATCCAGGTATATCCAGACGTTTTGCAGGGTTGTTTTTAAAGGATTGGTAAACTCAACTGTCACAATCATGTCAGAACCAACTACCTGAGCGCCACGGACCTAAGAGAGAGAATGCAGCTCATTAGCAGCAAATAAAACCTCATTCTGCTCTCTTGTTGCCTGAACCGTCTTCACTTTTGCTAGAGTTTTACAATACAGTTATTTTTTTGGCAATGGAACCAGTGTGATGAGGATAGTTTATTGCTTTGACTGGGGGATACCGATAGAGAAAGAGATGGAAATTTACTAATTAGAATCGTACTCTTTTCCTCATTATAAAATGAGCTTAATTAGAGCTCAGGTCAATAGCGGTGGCCACTGGCTGCTCTCAGTCAGCAGGAGGGGGAAGTGCATTTGGTGTGGCAACACGTTTCCACGGTGAGGGCGGCCAAGAGAACTTTGCTTCTGGATAGGCATCAAGTTTCCTGCCAGGACATAGGGGATTCCTGAGATCAAGAGGTAGAAAATGCTTCAGGGCACTTGTTTCTTCTCACTTTTAGACACATTAGGAAGAAATATGCCAAGCATGGGGTCCTTACTGTTGAACATAAAGAAGAGGAGGCTGGATGGTAAAATAAGGAAAGGAGATTTTTCTTCTGCAACCAGTCTTGAGTCCAGGAGAATAGAAGGTTATTTGTTGGTGAGTTTATCTATAATGACGCTCAGAAGTATCAGGTATTTGGAAGAACACCACAGGAGACAGAGCTCAGTGCAAGCTTCAACACTTACTAACAGTGAGGCCTCAGGTGACTTAGGCTTTCTGACACTCAGTTTTTCTTGTCTTTAAAATGGATTGACACTTTTATGGGGTGATCTACGTAGAATGCTCTTATTGTTACTATACCTTAAGCTGCGTTTACTGTATGCCACATATTTCAGAACCATATGCTTTTCCAACATACGCAAAGTGCTGCAAAATGCCAGGTGGCTGTAAGACTTATTTGTTCGTTTAGGAGCTGCGTACACCAAATGAATGGCTCTGTATAAGCTCTAAGTAACTTGGGAATAACATAAGGACAATAGTTCTTCCCTTGCCAGAAAGGTTTGGCATGAGATATGCTCATGACAGCTAACACATTGCGAGGCACATGACAAAGGCTCAATGCTTTGCAGTTGATGCTTTTTAGAGTAGTGCAGCTCTGACTGCTCTTATTCACCTTATGTTTTAGCCCACTTTAACTCCAGTACCTAGTACTTCAATACCAATGTCCATTCAAGATTTATTAAATTAAGTCAGTGGCTCAAAAACAGAATTTACTGGATGTCTGGATTTTCTATTTATAATTTTCTATATAAACATTACTATACCATGTTTCTTTAGCCACTATATTATATAAGAGAAAACATATGGAAATGAGCCCTTTTTAAGCATGGATGTAAAAAGGAAGGACATTGCTCAGGGGACAGGACCCTCGATTACTGACTCTACAGTCAAGAATAAAATCTTTTTGATCTGATCATTACACACTGTATGCATGCATAGAAAAATCACATATACCCCATACAAATGTATTATTATTATATATTAATTAAGAGAAGACTACAATCTTATGGCTCTATGCATCAAGCCATGCTTTGTGACTAAAGTTATGGCTATGGGATTTCTTAAGTCTATAAGATAAATGAAACTTTCAGCCAATTCCCCAAGTTTGTTACATTTAAATCCTCATATCCTGGAGGGCAGTGGTGGAGAGCTGGGTTCAGGGGAACTAGGAGAGGGGCAGACAATGGTCATGGTAGCAACAAGAGCAGGTGCACCTCGACAGCATGGATCTTGTGCCAGGCAAGGAATCCAGCACTTTAACCAATAGTTCTCAATCTGGTAATGAGTAGATCCTGTAATTCATTTATTTGAAGTACCCCGGTTGATTACAAAGAACCAGCCCCAGCTGACAACCATAATTCACATACATTCTCACATAAGCCTCACAACACGAGAGCTATATTTGTATTAGCTTGATCATACTATAATAATAGTTATTCCCTTAAGAAGAAGATTTTTCTGGGGCAGGATTGGTGCCAGGCATTGCATGTGGATTTGAAGCTGCTAAACGACCAAGCTGAGGTTCAAGTTCAAGTCTGTCTAACTGGAGATCTTGGGCTCTAAGATATAGTCCTACTCTGAGGCCAGAGGAGCTGGAAAAAGCCAACAACTCAGCCATAGTAAAACAACCAAAACCGTTTTGTACTGAGGTCCAAAATGCCAGACAGGAAGTAAGGGAGATTTTCAAACCAGTGGGAGCAGTGTTGGATTTGAAGCCCAGTAACAAGACTAAGAATAAATAAGGTCCCATGGGGAGGAGACTGGTTAAACAACCACAAACTGGAACATGAACTGGAAGTTACTTTTATGGCTGGCTGGCGAGTGGGGTTCGGAGGGATGAGCCTGGTTTGAAGACTGTGGCACAAACAGTTGTCACACTCTAGATCAGGGCTCCTCAACCTCAGCACTCCTGACATTTTGGGCGGGATGCATCTTTGTTTCAGGACTGTCCTGTGCAACGTAGGATGTTTAGCAACATCCCTGGTCTCTGCCCACTGCCTGCTAAGAGCAGCCCTGCACGCCAGCCATCAACAGCCAAAAGTGTCAGCAATTCCCAAATATTCCTAAGGAAACAAAATTGCCCTCCAGCTGGAGACAACTGGTACAGAGAAAACATGTGGAAGACAAACTGAATTTTTCACTTTCTTCCCAGATGCCCTGCCTCAATCAATTCAGATATTAAGGGTGTAGAAATACATCAGAATACTTTACATGGTGTCCTTGATTTAATTCTCAAGGGTGTTTGATATATTTTTTTCTGCATTAAGAAAAATGTCCCGTATTAAGAAAAATCTTTGAATTAAAAAAATACAAAATGAAGATACCACTTACAAAAGTTCTCTACGTTGGAGAAGATGGAGCTGCTACAGAGACATTATTGGCAAAAGTGTTTGCTATGATCACTTTATTCTTTCTGGAAAAAATATTTTGGAGCCATCTGTCTTCTCCATGGTATGCTATATAAGGACGGGCATAAGCTCTTTAAAAAGTAAATCTGATAGTAGCTACTGACCCTTCCTCCAGACAGACATACACAGTGACAAATACAAGATATATACAATATAGAGATGTATTTTTAGGGGATGAACTATAGATCTACAAAGTCTATACATGGCTTTCTAGGGACCCATGAAACCTAGATTCGGAACTCTTTCCATATCAGTAGGCTGGCTGTACATGAAGCCTCCTATGCTGTAGAAAGTGAAATACACCCTTCCAGGTCACTGGTGACAGTGATAGGGAATGTTTAGTGTTTGAGAAGCTGGCCCATGCATTGGGCCTTCATAGATAGGCTTCAGGTGTGAATATGATCAGAGAATTAAACCTTCTCAGGTAATTTAATATGTCATGCCTAATCAGTTAGCTTCCAGTATTGCTTCTGTAATTAGATGCTGGCATGGGTGTATCAATTCTGCCCAGGTTTCCCTGAAGCTGGAGTGGGGACTGGGGAGAACCCTGGGGAGTGGTGAGAGGAGGAGAAGCCCTTCTCCGGTTGTAGTGTGTTTCTTTTGCAATTAACAAAGACTGGTATCCCTTTACCGACATTTGTCTCCTGCACTGAGAATATGAACTTTCCGTCCCTGACTACTGATGATAATGAACCTCAGACACTCAAATCCACTAAATTTAAAAGGCTGCCCAATGCTCAACATCACTGTGTTCTGCTTGGGAAATGTAACTGGAGGTGTCTCCCTCTCCTTGCTTCATTTGAGGAAAATGCTGCCAACACATAGTGTTTTCATGTTATGTGTTGATTTCAGTTATGCATCATGCTATGGTACCTATAAAATGCTGAGAACAATGACTATTTGGGGAGAAAATGTCTGTTTGCATCTCATTCTTTTAGGAATCTGCAAAGATCCCTTTTCTTTATTGCTGAAAACATAATTCCATATCTGCATAGCCATATTTTTCATTTTCTTGCTCTCATAAAACCTTAAATAAAGGGAGCCTTCAGGCAATTTAGAGAAGGTTAGTTCAAGAAGTAACTTTTATGTGTATTCACTTTACAGAGAGTATTCATTACTTGGGCCAGAGAAAAGAATAAAGCATATGTCTTACTTGGTGATATCGAATGCTTTTGCATATACTTGATGGCCTTAAGTTTTTCTCAATATTCCATTTAAAATATCTCTGTTTTAAAAAAATCAACCTGTAATATGATGCTTTTCCAAGTTATGAATCACTTACTGATATTGACACAGTGCATTTCTGTCCCTTACACTATTTTATGACTCTGATTCTTTGGTAAACAGGAAAATCACTAACACCTACATACTCTCTTTCTCTTATATACACTTTTTGGGAAGAAATTACTTTTTTTAGAAATCACAAGATATCTTCCACTAAGCATATGCTTTAAAAATACATAACTGTGGCTGGGCGCAGTGGCTCACACCTGTAATCCCAGCACTTTGGGAGGCCAAGGTGGTGGATCATGAGGTCAGGAGTTTGAGACCAGCCTGACCAATATGGTAAAACCCCATCTCTACTAAAAAGATAAAAATCAGCTGGGTGTGGTGGCCTGCACCTGTAGTCCCAGCTACTCGGGAGGCTGAGGTAGAATTGCTTAAACCCGGGTGGCGGAGGTTGCAGTGAGCCAAGATTGCGCCACTGCACTCCAGCCTGGGCCACAGAGCGAGATTCTATCTCTCTCTTTCTCTCTCTCTCTCTCTCTCCTCTCTCTCTCTCTCTCACACACACACACACGCACACACACACACACACAGATACATAACTGTATTCAAAATCGAAACTGAAAGGAAGGAAAAAGTTTGAGAAACAGTAACAATAAATGAAGTTGGCAATTTGGTACACAGGATTTATTAGTGCGCCTAACAGCCCTTATTTCAAGTTCTTTCAATCACATATTGCACATACTACTGGAAACTGAATTTTTTCCCTCCCCCTTGGCTTATAATCATTGTTAATAATAAGCAATTTCTTGTTTGTAAACTCTGCTCATTACTACAGACACTACCCTTGCTTTTAGCTGACACTTAAATGAGTATTTACT